TACCGTCACCCCGTTGAGCGATAAACGGCGACTTTAGTTCGGACAATGACGTTCAATGTAGCGTGACGGGATGATACGTTGCGGGTGCCCGACCGCCCGCCGGGAAACTCCTATGGTTGCTGAACATGGGGGCCGCACATCATTACCCACCGTTGTTGACACTAGCTTATAAACGTCGTCATTCGAGCTCGGGGATGTGTGACGGACAGTCAACACCGTGATGCTACGTCACGACTGGAAGCCAACACTCGATAGGGGTTGGACGCAATCCCCGACTTGCGATCTTGCCTCAATTTGTTAACGAATTATTAGCTTTCTTTTTGACTGATAAAAAATTATTGCAGTAAATAGCATTTTAATTCACAAGTAGTAATTGTGTGCATATGTAATATAATTTATCTTTTAGCAAGATAAATGCCACACTTATTTTTTTTTTTTTTTTTGTTTGGAGAAAAAGAAAGATGTAGAGATATTTACTACTTTTCGGTACATTTCATACTTTGCTCGACCAAGAATCGAAACGGAATAATCGACTGAAGGAACGGAAACAAGGTACAAGAATGCAGAAACTCGCGGGGCGGCACAAGCGCAGTTGCCCGGGCGCGCCACGGAAGTGGAATATAAGCTCCGATAAATCCGGCTGCGCAGTTAAAAATTGATGTAGTAGTTTCGGAAGTGCATGGGGCCGGCGGTTAAGTCACGTATGTAGTCAACGGTAAACGGAAGCCCATATCAATAAGTATCGGTTGTGTGCATCGGGATCTGCGCGCGCGAGCGAACGGAGGTGGAAGTCAGAGGGAGGAAAGGGGGGGAGGGGAGATGCCACGCCGTGCGAGGGTTATATAGAGAGCAGCTAGTCGATGGGATGGCGTTTCCAAGGCCGGGGGTAAAATAATGGGGGCGGACGCTCGACTCGAAACATTGATGTTGCCCGGCGCGCTTACAAACACACCGACACCAATCGAGCATGGCTCTTCCTACACAAAACCGATGTAGGGGGGCTCCGTTGGCCAGGCGGCCGGTTGGCTTTACAGGGGACGGAGGAGGAGAGGAGAGGAGAGGCAGGAACGGAGGTAGGGAAGAGTAGCGGTGAGTAGAGTATCAGGAGAGGCGCGGAGGAGGGAAGGACGCGGAGAGGATGAGGGAAATACGCATATATACCCTTGTACAGCGTTCTATGCCATCGATGCGGCTCGTGTTTAACGCCCTTATAAATGTGTAATGCGTATACTTGAAAGCGGGAACGGCGGGGGCGGAGGGGGGGAGGGGGGGACGCGGAACGGAGGGTAGGCAGAGGACCGGGTGTAGGACGTACCCGCAACTCGCCGGGGTGGGCCCTCTGCGTATCGATAAACGATCAATCAACCGGTACACCTATGGACGAGGCCACCGAGGGTAAAAGAGGCGGCGGTGGTAGCGACGGGAAGGTAGAGATGGTCGCGGCGGAGAAGGAGGAGGAAGTGGAAACGGAGGACGACGTAGGGGTAGGAAGCACAAGGGATGAGAGAACGGCACGATGGTGGGTGAAGATGGGTATGTGAGAGGAAGGATGGAAGGGGTTGAACGGAAACAGCGGCGGTAGGGGCAAAAGACAGAGGAGGCACGAGACGCGGGGTGAGGGTAGCGCGGGGGAGGGTGGCGGCTCGCAGAGTATCGACCCATCGCGGAGGAGAAGGCAGCCAGGGTCGCCGTCGCCGGGTTTTGTTGATGTAGGTGTACACGCTCCGCGTATCTGTCTATCCAGATATCTCTGCGCGAAGACGTTGCGAGACTCAATCTCGCTGTTGCATCGGCGATACGAGTCTGAATCGTTTCCATGGTTTAATTCCGTCGAGGCGTACTACGCTGGAATGTACCGTCGTGATTTCTCGAACGCAGATGCTATTCGGTCTTGATCTTCAGGGTTTGCTGCTTGTCTAATATGCGAAAAAATGCGTCTACGGTTTCATTTTTATTCTCAAGAATGCAGACATCGTGAACGATTAGCGTAGAATGTGCGTAGTAAGAAGATTTACAGAACTCTTTAAGTCGTTAATGTACCTTCAATCTCGAGTAATCTTTATTTTATAGACTTTCGCATTCGTTACTACGTACAGACTTATACTCTCGAAGTTTATGTTTCGCCGGAGCGTCTCGGACAACGAACCGCGTTTCTCTACGTACGCTTCACCTTATCCTCCGATGCACACGCGGGACGACAGGGATGCGATTAGAGAAGGAACGCGGTCATGGAAGTAAGCGACTCGAATTATCCGCGACATGCTCGGTGTATATTTTAAAAGACATATCGTGATCCCGCATCACTCATGCACCGTTAAACGCGTTAACGACCTTAAGCTGCCTGCTACGCTGCGCATTCTCAGCGCATCTTCGGCGTTGTCATCGTGTCGCGCACGGTAAATGACGCGTTCAGCTGGGAGGCTCGTTTCGGATGTATCGTCATCGTGTGTCTTTCATTTCCACCCTCCGCGCATGATAACCGCTCGCGCATCTCCATCCCGCTTTAGCGGCGTGCCATTTGACAGTGCGCACAGGGGGGACACAATGCACGCCGTAGTCACCGCGCGTAGCTACGCGGATCTGCCCATTGTGGGGGTCAGGTGGATCGTCGGTCGACGGAGAGCTCGTTGGCTGGCTCCGCGGGGTGTGGCCACATAACCATAGCACAACGGTCTTTCCTCTCTCTCTCCCTCTTTCCCCCTCTCTCTCTATCCCTCGCCTATTCTCGCCCTCTGTCTCTCTCGAGCTCCTTCCCTCGCTTCGTCGCCGTGCTTTCACTCGTTCTTCACGGTAGCATTTTGTCTCGCTCCCGCCGACCGAATCCACCGGACGACCGTGGTGATAACAATAGTAAGCTATCTTCCTCTCCGTCTCGTTTGTGCTAACGCACGGCGTTCCCCTTTCCGGCCTGAAGCCGGTGCGCACGCGGCGGTAGGGATACCCGGTGCGTGCACCCACCGGGAGCTACCAAGCAGGCGCATCGTTGGCCTATTACAATGGCCAGCCCTCCTAAACGTTTCATTGTCATCGGCGTACTCTCTGCCCATGCGTCGATGCGCATGAACCATTGTTTCTCGTCGAATGGGCGTCTCTTCGCCGTCAGCGACGCCGCCGTTGTCGGATAATGCAGCGCCGTTTTCATGGTGAGGCCAGACGAGGCGTGAGTTTCTGCGCGGTCGACCACCTATGACCGCCGGGGGGGAAACGGGGAGGGATATCAATTGATTTTATCTAACGGGTGCCAGTTTCTCCTCCGAGGAAAAGGCGGAACGATGTCATTAATATCACGGATTTGTAAACCGATCCTTTTCGATCAATTATTTACATTATTTTTATTGATTATATCTAATGCTGCTGCAATGCAATTTGTCGCTAACTTTTGAATTTTATGCATAATTAAATTATTATCCTGATATGATTTATGCACGATAGCTTTTAAATTTAATGTGTATATACCATCACTTTGCATCTCTGCGATTTCCACGTTTTTTTTTTTTTTTTTTTACTTCACGTGACGATACGAGTTCGAAGTTTGTTCACCTTTTTAGCGGTAATTTATGTTGTTTTCTGTGAACGCGGAATAATCAGACTGGATATCTGTCGCGTTTAATATCGGCGAAGCAAGAGAGGAGATATATATCTTCTATCTATCATCGCGACACTTGTTATTGAACTCGTTACCCCGTGCTACCGTAGCTAGATCTAATAATATATTCCAAAGAGATCCTCTTTTTTACACCTACACGCATGCCAATGATTTACGCGCGCCATCGAAGCTTTCCCGCTTGGACATTCCTCGCCCGGTGAAAGAACAAGTCCGTTGCGCAGCGACAAAAAGCAATTATCGTGAAAACTGCATTCATTAATAACGGATAACGTATCATTGCATCGCGTCACGCAGATATTCAGGTAGAACCGGTCGGACTAACTTGATATGCGAATCTTTCAGATAAGCACGCATCGTCAAGTAAATCAGGTCTTCTCTCGTTACACGCGTATTCTTAATGCAATATCCCGGGACACTGACTACAATCAACTTGATCTTACAACCAGCGCTAAAGATAATGATCCCACTCCCCGATAAGTATTAATAGCGCGAGCTAGTTGCGTCGACGCTACAAAGCGAAGAGACGTCCTTCCGTTTCTCGTTCCATTACATTAAGTGCCCCACTTGCCGATTCAAAGCTCGATACATTTGATACGCGCATTGCACTTCGAATGGTCTTGATTTTTGACGTTCGCAAAACAACGAGTCCAAGTTCCGGTCGTGTTGCACGGTGCTAAACTGTAATTATCATGAATTCATCTTAAGAAGTGATCACATATTCTTCTCGCTACACGAGATATTACCGATGATCTACAGTACATTGAAAATTGTAGTCTTCCGCGGCGCACGATCGCGATCTTCTTGATCCACGTCCAGGGTAATAAATCTGCCCTAATGCTGGGTTACGAGAAACAGTTATCGGAGTCTTGAAATTTATCGATTCTTTAACAATTTTCCGTTATTATCGTCAACGATTATTAACAATTCTTTTAATCTCAACAATCCAACGGCAGTCCTTATAACCTGACATTAGTGCGCTATAGTAAGTTTGGAGCACATTATACCTCTGTAGATGAGGCACGGATTGCGAACGCATTGTTTCGAAGTACGATCTCGTCGATAAATCCTATACGCTAATTCTATGTTGCAAAGATTGGATAATCGGGTTACTAAAATTTATTGTCGCGTAATCGATTGTCTCAATGGCCTGTTCGGCGTTCACTCGTAATTTGTATAATTATAATGGTCACAGAGCAATTTTTAACGTCACTTACGCTTTGATATACTGCATCGCTGTATAAGTATTTATTTTAATTGATTAAGCGATATCAATATTGTCGTTAATATCGTAACTAAGTTATACAAAAATAACACTTTTTATCATTTTTGTCAGAAACTATATTATAGTAACGATATGTGACATTTCCAAATGAAATACGTTTACGATATATGTTTATTCCGCATTCAATATTGTTGTTCTTTCGTGCCTCTCGATAGCTATTTTCTTGATTTGTTCCCATAGCATGGGATACGGATGAATTGTTCTGGCAAAATCAGCGCGATCCAGACGATATAATTCGCAAATTTCAACAGCGACCACGCTGGCCACTCTCCGCTCCTCCGGCATCACCAAAACGATCTCCCCGAAATGCGCGCCGTCCTCTAAGTGACACACTTCCCTGCCGGAACTCGTGTAAATCGCCACCGTGCCGATAGCAATAAAGTACATACAGTCACCTGGTTGATTGGCTCGTACAATCACGTCGTTCGTTAGAAATATCTCAGACTTCAGCAGGGCGACGATGCGCGTGAGTAAAGCGAGAGGCAGATTGTTAAAGAACGTGACGTTTTCCACGAGCTTACGACAGGCGTGCATGTTAATTTCCTGACGCATCTGCATAGACAATATGTTGAGAATCTCGATCTCGCGAAAATATCGCTGTTGAAAGCAAAATTCGTAGTAAGCTAAGATACGATGTTGAGTCGTGTGCGGTAGCTGCCGATGAATCATATATTGTTTGAGTTGCGATATGATGTTTCGATATTTCGTCTTAGAACCGTTAGCGCCCTTGAAGAACAGTCTCACGTAAGCTATTAGAATCCAAATAATCAAACTACCGAAGATTTGTGAGATAATCACAAGCGTGAGGTCCGTCTCATTTCTCGGTTTGCTATGCAGAAAGCCCGAGGAAAGGAAAGTGGAGATAGCGCGTAAAAGGCTGGATAAATATTGTCGGGCTTTAGATTCTTCCCAAAGATCGAATTCATGTAGCCAGGAACCGTTCGCGGGACGTTCTGGTAGATACATGGAGGTCGTCGCTATCGGCATTAGCCAGTAGAGGCAAGATTGCCAGTGCAATGTTATTACCAGCCAAAATATCGCGATGCAGACTTTGTAGAGAGCTATTGGAACGTCATACACATGGGCAATTTTTCTTATGTAGGAAGTGAGAGAGAACACGCGAAATCCGCATATCAAAGACGCTAATTCCCGCGTGACTGTAAACTTTTGCCACACTGCAACAAATACGATGTCAGTCATTAGAGAGCCCAGCAGGTCTGGCAGAAAGATACGTTTTAGATATCTCTTCATTATTTGCTTCTGCTCCATCACGACGATGTGATGCAGCTTGTCAAAATATCTGTTCAATAATAGTAAAGGAAATTTTATTTTTAATTTATATGTATATCATATATGTTTTGTTAAATTCTGATATAATAACAAAGTTAGGATTACAACGATCATGCGTTTCGGCAATTTCTGCGAATACGCAGTATAAGCGCGATTGAATTATTTTATATTTATTAATTAAATTATATTTACCCTGTCATAAAATTAACAATCACGTCCATGCAACAGAAGAAAAGCAGGAAATTTTTGGAAAATGTCCAGTAATGCGAGCGTTGGCTTATTTCGAAGGCAGCTTGATGCGGAACAGCGAATAGCAAGCATATCATAATTAAAATCATTGTGAAATCCCAGTAATGTCTGTGCAACGAAGAATTCGGTTTAATTGAATAGCTTAGAAATTTGAAAATTGATATATAAATAGATATAAAGATTTTTGAAAAGGTTATAGAAGTTTATCAATGAAATATACCTAAACATACTGAATGGATGAATAATGTATCTGTAATTACGTAAATGCCGTCGCTTTTCCGAGACTATAGAAGCATGACTACGTAGATATTTGCAAGCGCCTGGATTTTTATTTGATGCCATCAGCAAATATCGGAAGTCATCGTACATTTTTTGAAAGAAACTGCGATCAGGAGGAAAGAGTACGTCTTCGTGTTTGGTTACAATATCGCATTCATGTTTTACACGAAGCATTATGGAATCGTTAAATGATTGATTAAAACAATACAGAAAAAGGATGAGTTTTGCTAAACGTATGCTAATTATAAAATTATCGCTGTACAAGCATAAAAAGCACATATTGCTTGCAACGGCGGCATCTCTTCGTGTGTAAAAGAACCTCGTGCTCTCGTGTGTATTCACGAAGTACGCAGTCGGTAGTATAGTTTCATGCCTTTAGATGATCAGACTCTCGTCCTGGTTTCTCTTGCTCTCTCTTTTGATACAATACCGACTACGTTATCTTGTTGGCTGTAGGAAGATTAGTTTTAATCTATAAATGGTAAGATGATTTCCATATTTAGATAATCTTTGTTGAAATTGTGCAGTTTAACAATGTGTCTGCTGATAGCATTTAATCGATTTTGTTGTTCATGCTAGTTGTGTAGCTTTTTCCCTCATGAGGACAGCACTTTATTTCTGATTAATTATATTGGCAATACAAAAAAGTTTGAAAATTTCTGTAAATAGCATATATGTATTTTGTTTCCGCAGATATAGTTCATTTGTAAATTATTATTTCAATCTTTGTGGAACAACTGTGTATTTTGAAGCAATTGACAAGTTTTTATAAATATTTACAAAATTTTATATCAACGATTTGTGCAAAAGCGTTTATTAATATACGTGTCGGCCTCGAAATAATAATGTCCAATATACGGGATGCATCATATTTTTTATACGTTTCGGAGACATGAATAATTGCTAGTATGAATTGCGAGTCGTGTGCATCACTACCAGTGAATTTTAGTGTGGTCAGTTAATTTTCGTGCAACTGACAGTTGGTTTTCACGAGATATAAAAATATCGAACTGACTGTATATACGAAGAGACATTTTTTTTCCAGCGGGTCACAAATGAATAATACACGTGACAGTAATTCATTATATAATATTGTTATATGGCGAAATATTACACACACATACATATATGTATATATGCCGACTCTTTTTTGTGTTTACAAAACCGAGTTTTCCGTTGTACATACACGTCTGTCGATTCTTCCAAGTCCGGATTATCATGGCAAAGATAAGAGTGTCTACCAACGGAGATCGCAGATCGCTTTCAGAATGGATGATCTGTTCACGGTACGTTTAAGTAACGCTTTATACAAGTCGGCTTTATGAGGGCTCAAACCTTCGTTGCGTGCACCGCATAAAGACAATCTTCCGGTATATATTCCACGCGTTGAATTCTCGATGTAACGACGAGATTTTATGGACGATTTTATCCGTTCCCTATACAGGAATAAATATATGTACCCGCGAATAAACTCAGCCATAACCATGCATGCTTATTCGAGTGAGTAACAGCGATGCAAGTGTCTTGCCGTGCATAAAAAATGTTTTAACGTTACTATATGCCGATGTGTGCATGATAAACTCCTCGCGTTGTCGTAGACAAAATACGAAAGAGCTTTTCTTTAAACGTTTTTCGGGTGCGAGGTTTCTTGCACAGATATCGTTGTCGGAGCTAAAGGAGTATCAGGAAACATTTTATCCCGGACTCCGGAAAATCTACCGGTTAAGCGGTGTACGCAATTTAAAGTCGCTACTTCTGTCCGTCCCGGGAGAATTAAGGGTCAGACGCAGAGGCAAGTATATCGCCAGGAAGTCGGGTTCTCCGCAGCTTTTTTCCCTCCTATCCTGGTAATAAATTTTCAAGTCGTCCAGCGACGTCCTGGAACTCAGGAACGATGTTATAGACGGTGCTCGAGAACAAGAAGGGTGGTTACTCAGGATACGTTCACAACCCTCCGCACATACTAACGTGGATTTACCGAGGCCCATCCTCCGCGTAACGACGAGTGACTGCGGAAGAGTCTATATACGCGATTCTGGGGTGGAAAGTTATGGGTGGTCTCGCTGCTGTATCAATATCTCGTTAGGGGCTACGACGGAAATAAAACCGAAATGTCCATCTTCCTCGGCACTGACCGAGCCAGTGAAATTGTAATGCGTCTCGTAGGCGCCACTCGCTTGTTATCCATACTGGTTCGAATGCAGGAACAACGGCATAATATTAATTGAATCACTGCATCATATTTTATGCAAGTTATAATCGATTATTGCCATGCATAGAAACGTTGCATATATCACAAAATCGGCTTACCGTATCAACTAGCTGGGAAATGACGGAAACGTTCAAATAGGATTTCTAATACATGTATTTATCATGTATATATTGATAACTATCTATATTCCATCCCTCATTAGAGGTAAAGATGGATTATTTCAAGTGCGTATAATAGAGGCGTTTTGCAGCTTATGATTATATCGGTATATAATTGAAATACATGATAGTAAAGTAGAGATTTTACAAGTAAATCCAAATAATTATTCTGACTACATTATTTAGATGTTTAGAATATGCTGATATATTACCGTCACATTGCATATTTTGATGCATATAATGCCATATTCACGAATCTCTTGGCTATTACAGTCAATAACGAGAAAATAGCTATGGAAATATAGTTATTCAAATGGCATTGCCAATATTTTATGATATACAAGATATATGTTTTGACTTCGCACTATTTAATTGAAGTAATAACATAGCGGAGTATATTTGATGTATAGATATGAAAGCTCAGTGGGAATAACATACAAATAGAACGTAAAAGATAAAATAATATAAAAAAGTAATGTATTCTGCACATATTTGAAATGCATTTTCCTTTTCTTATAAACACATTAACACGAAAGTAATTTTATTTTTATCAGCACGATGGCTCGTGTTTTAACGCAATTGTCAGGGCCGAGATGTTTCTTTTATATTTACGACGTAAGGGCGCGAACGAAGGTAATTCTTGCTTCCGCCGCAATGATCAATAAACCATCCCGTCCACGCTGCTGAACGACGCTTTATACTTCGATGGATGTAACGCCGAGAAAAGAGGCGGCAACTGGTGGTCGTAAGTACTTACGTACGTGTGAGTTCGCCGTGTATATACGCAGCGAACTGCCAACGATATAGCCAGCGAGACGAAAACACTCGCCTCCGCAAGGTCTAGTACTGGCGTAAATATACCGAATGGTAAGAGACTGCTGCTGCAGTTACCCAAAAGCCATCGCTACCAGTCGCTTTATGGAAACACGGCTCCGTAAATATTTTCGAGCACTTTGGTTTTTGTGCGGTGTTATGATCGCGCGGCGTTCGATTTTTCCACGAATGTGCGGCAAACATTTTAAATGCATGAAAATAATTAGTGGATAATGCAGCAATGAATGATCATTAAACGGGGGGGTCGAGAATCTCATATTGGAAAAAATAGATGCAATAATAATTCCAATACATTTGCATAAGCATTATTTAACTCCTAATAAGAGTCTAAATAAATTTTTAAAATTACAATTGGTTTATCGCGTCGGTTTTGCCGTACACATACACGTATTATATGTTAATTACAAAATAATTTTCAAAATAAACAAATAAAAATTAATTAATTGGTATTTTAACTTTATATTTTCGATAAATTGCGGTAATAATCGTGAAAGCATTTATCTTAAAAAAACATTCTTCGTCCTCTATTATTCTATTAATACGTCTCGTATTACATTTCCGTGATAAAGTTACTAAATGTATAACGCGTAATCCATTATTATGGGGTTGGCAAGAGGAGGCAACTGGTGGCCGTAAGTACTTACATTCGCCCTCGCGTGTTCTCCACGCGTATCACGCGCACATACGCGCCGCGGCCGCGGCGAGTTACCGGTGATATAGTTTGCAGCTGAAACAACCGCTTCCACACTGTCTAGCAGTTGGCGTTTGGCCAGCTCCTGGTGCCGATGTGCCTCTCCTCGCCCGTTATACGAGAATTAGAGTATACTACGCTTCCCCTCCTGTAATTACGCCGGTTTCGCTATCTCCCTCCTTCTCTCTCCCTTCTGCTTCCTTGCTCTCTGATTCTATCTCTCTCATTTTATCCCCCGACATCTCGTGTATTCCATTCTTTATCGTCCGGCCGGACCTGCGTGCGGACGCGCCTCCACTCGACATTTGCATCCCGTTAAACGTCGTAAACTTGTCAAAGCGCGGGCCGTTATGTGCAGAATCGCGAGCCGTACTGCAGTCGCCGTGGGCAACGTTTGCGGTATTCTCCAGCGGATGTCCGGGAAGACAAAGCATCAGAGAACTGCGAGACCGGGGATATCTGCCGCGCCATTATTCCGAACGAATCGACGGACTTGAGAGCACTTAACGGGGATTAACGTTTTTATATCTCTATCTCGGCCGGTGCGCGAAAAACGATATGCTAATGAGCTGATAATACCGAAATTCGGCTAACGAGGGCCGCTGTATTTCACTGTCGCAGCGACAAACAGACTCGTGCGACGGTTCTTGCGTCTCTTAATTCGCAAACGAATCGCCGAACGTAAGAGTGCACTTAAAGCAGATTAGGGCTCCGGCGATATCATCAGCTGTCGATGTATTATCGGTGTTGCTATCAAAGTTGTAAAAACAAAAATGATACAGGTGTTAACGAATATTTTTGTAATTCTTGGACTATTCGACATACGATATTTTTTATTCGTGCAAATTTATAGACATTTTTAGGATAAAAATAATAGAGTAGATATACGCGACTCCATTCTAAACTATCCGTTCAAGCTCTTTCTAAATTTAAATAATACATATAGTTATTGGTCGATTTATAGTTTGTATCAGCGGTAGACGGTATCAGTTCTACATCAGCTATCTAAAAATATAATTATGCGATACTAATTACGTTGACCGCGTTCTGTGGACGTTTTAACAGTGTCGCTATTTATGGAGAAACGTCCCGTCTATGTAATTACTGCCTAATCTTTGATGCACTATGAATAGAGATGATTCGGTTTACAGCGTGTGGCTGATCTTCG